ACTCCGGCCTTAATCTTTACTTCTTCTCTCAACCTTCCTTAGCGATGCGTCCTAGAGATAGGGCCCGATGACGCCACGAATGAGTTCCCGGACCTGGCCCCGCGCTTCGTCCGGGACGCAGGCGCGAAGCAGCGCGGCGACGACCAGCGCGGCCTTGCGCTTGGCGGGGAGGCCCGCATCGGACACGAGACCATTCACGCTGCCGCGCCGCACGAGCTCGACGACCGCGTCGAAGCCGACGGTCAGCGCGATCGCGACCGCGTTGGCGTCGTTGTTGTCCGCGAGGGTGCCCAGCGCATACGCGGCCATGCTCCCGTGGCGCAGGAGCTCGACGAGCGGCGCGATGCCGCCGGCCTCGACGATCAGGACCTTGTTAGCGGCGTTGTCGCACGCGAGGTTGCGCAGCGCCCACGCGGCACACGCTTTGTCCTCCGCGCTCCCGTCGCGCAGGAGCTCGACGAGCGGCGCGATGCCGCCAGCCGCGGCGATCGCGGCCCGGTTGGCGTCGTAAATCCACGCGAGGTGGCCCAGCGCCCCCGCCGCCGCCGTCTTCGCCGCGTCGTCGCCCTCGCGCAAGGCGCGGACCAGCCCATCGATCTCCGCCATCTGACCCCTTGCCAAACGCCGACGTTTCCCACTGCTTGTACATTCAACAACCTCATTGAAGAAGGGCCGGTGGATTATGATGGACTAGCAGCCCATCATGCCGAAGCTGCACCGCGAGGTGCGCAACGCGACGGCGGGCAAGCCCGGCATCCTGGCCTACCTGTCGCTGGGCCTGCTCATGGTCGTGCTCACGCTCGTGCGCCTCTGCCGGCGGCGGCGCAAGTTCAGCGCGAAGCAGCTCGACGCCTACCACGACTGGAAGAAGGGCACGGCCGAGGGCAAGCTCGAGTCGAAGCTCGCGCGCATGCAGCAGAAGCTCGAGGGCATGCGGAGCCGGCGCAAGGTCGAGGAGGGCCGCGACGCGCACGAGCGGCTCCTGAAGAAAGCCGAGGAGCTCCGCGAGGTCCGCGGCCGCGAGGTCTACGGCGACGACTGGGACGACCCCAAGGACGGCGTGCCCATCCGCGACCTCTTCGCGCTCAGCGACGTCGAGGTGCGCACCCTGCAGACGGAGGCGCGCAACGCCCGGGCCGTCGACGCCGAGCGCGCGCTCGACCGGGCCGAGAACGGCGCCGCGAAGCCGAAGAAGCCGCCGCCGCCGCCGGGGCCGCCGCCGGCGACGTCGAAGCCGCGGAAGCCGCCGCCGCCGCCGGGGCCGCCGCCGCCGTCGGCCTTCGCGCCCCTCGACGGCGGCCGCGCGCGGCCGCCGCGGGGCGTGGCCTACGTCGCGACGCCGCGCGAGGCCTTCGGCGACGACCCCGAGGCGGGCCTCGCGCGCGGCGGCGACGGCGGCTCCGCCGTCGCGCAGATCCGGGACCAGCTC